ACACTGTGCAATGATGAACTTCGATAGACTTAGCTCTTCTAAGCAATGCAGTGATTGAAGACAACTCCAAAAGACTATGATGGAAAATGCTGTCCACATCCAGAGAACTAGGGAGTCTGAACGCAGATGGAAGCATTCAATTTGCTTGTTCTTTTCCCTTTGGTTTGGATTCTTCTTTACAACATGACTAATGTGGAAATACGTCTAACAGGATTGTATATGTATAGCCTATATCAGATTGCATGCCAGCTTGGGGAGGGGGAAGGGAGATGGGGGGAAAATTCAGAACTCAAAATCTTATAAAAGTTGAAAACTAAAAATAAAAAAACAGAGAATATAGTTAATTCCCAACAATCAATAGCCACCAGAACAGTTCTCCTTGCAGCACAGAGATCAGAACTCCCTTTTCTTCTCCCACTCCCACTTCTCCCTTCTACCTCCATGGCCTACTACCTAGAACCGCACCCTCTACTCTTCCTTTTCCTTCTTCTCACTCTTCTATTTAATGTCTTATTTATTAATACTTAACTGTGATTGTCTTGTGCTTATAATTCACAATTACCTCGTACACAGTTTGCCCATATTTATAGATTTCCGTTTCATCTCCACATAAAGTAACAAGATTAAACACACTCTCTGAGGACAGGAGTTTGTCATTTATGTATTCCAATGCCTAGCACAGTATCAGGCACCTAGTAGGTGCCTAATTAATGCTTGTTGACTGACAGATTCTAACTATGCACGTGGTGGGTACGGGAGAAATGGTTTGAGCAAAATTAATCTTGGTGAGAAGCAGATTAAATATGTAAGGCCACTTCTGATACTGACTACTCCATTCTCAGTGCTGACCCCATTAGTTGCACCCCCAAACCTCATCCCATCCTCACTACTATCCCCAGAGGCTCCTCTAACCTTAATTCTAAGGCTCTACCGTGTTTTTCTCTCCTGAACCCTGCTCCAAATCTTATGATGAATGGCTGGGTTAGCCCCTCTGAAATGTACATCAATCTTAATTCTTGAACACATCTTTCTAGAGCATCCCAACACTGATCATTATTAGCGCTCATGGTCAGCTATGAGGGAAAAATATAAGAGAAAAGGGGAAACTGGAGGAAACTTTTTTCACACCCCCCTCCCTTTCCCCTTCAATTTCTACTGCTACTGTCAATAAAAATTATTTGAAAAACTGAAAGGGCTACGTACATAGTTCAAGGAAAAGAATAGGTAAGAAGGCCAGTAAGGAGAGAAACTCTGACCAGAAGTGACAGGTAGCAGAAACCGAAAGGGAAATAGGTGGTCCTAACCCCAAGTCTCATAGGAAAAAGAGTTCAACCAGAGAAGTACCTCAGTCCAAGAAGCATTCCTGGAGTAATGTTAGAGCACAATGCCATGGCCACCCCAGGGCCTTCCCCCTCTCAGCCCTATCCCAGCTCCTCCTCTCCAGCAATTAGCACCAATTTACACCCGAGTTCTCACATCGATCCTGTGCCTCACAAAGCCCCACAATCCTAAGACTCAGAGCTATCAGCCTCATAATCAACAGGAAGATGTGGTCAGGGAATCCCAAATTGGATTTCAGAGTGTATTTTCCCATAGAAACAATAATAGAGTCATATTAATAACCCATGTTCATTTAATAGTTTACCAATTATAAAGCACCTTCTGAACAACCCTATTCCATGGGATAAGTGACAGAAGCTTCCACAACCTAACCACCACACAGAAAAATGTGCTCCAGCTTCCAAACAAATGACTTAAAAAGGAACTCTGAGGAACACAAAACATCATAAGCAGGGGACAGCCTGTGCCATCTCTGGTTCCAGAGATAACATGCCTGAAAACTAAGAAATGAACAAATAAAATGAAAAAATGTGAAGTCCTGTCACACTCCTCATATGTCCACGGGCTGTGCTTTACAAACCTCTCAAAAGAATATGTGATGGAAGCTTACATAATACACTTACTTTCTAAATAACAGTGTCTCTAAAAATGCAGGAACAGAGATAGAACACCCAGACTGTGTTCACTTACTACAGAAAAGTGAAAGATGGTCATGATTAAAGGAATACAGTTCATGACACCATTATAGGTTATTTATTAATACAACTGTACAACTAGCCATGAAGTGTTAAGAAGCACAGTGGGTCTGGTCTGGTTTGTCCATGCACACAGTTTCATCAATGGAGGGAACTTCCATGGGAAAATCCATCTACCAGTGAAGAACTGCAATATCTATACTAGGCAGCTATCTGGTATAGTGGATAGAATGTTAGATTTTGGGTCAGAAGGACCTGAGTTCAAATTCTGCCTAAAGGTCTGGTAGTAGCTATATGACAATGGAAAAGCACCAACCTCCTCTATCTCATCTCCTTGTTGGAAGGATGAAATGAGATCTTAAAGCACTCTCTAAACTGTCTTCTCTCATGCTTTGATTATGCTATGTGTATTATTAGCCTTAATAAGATGACATTTAATATAGAAAAAATGAAAATCATTACACTCCAGTACAAAAAAGCATCCTCATGAGCTCAAGCTCAGGGAAGCGACTCTGGAAAATGCAAACTCCTTAGAAACAACAACTGTCTCACTTCTGTCTTTGTATACTGGAACCAAGCATAAGGCCTGGCAAACAGCAGGTGCTTAATGAATGCAAATAGCACTGAAGTGAAGATCCGTGGGTTTTGGTGAATTGTGAACTTGGTACGAATCAAGCGTGGGATACGGCCACCAAGAAAACACTGTACCATCAGAACAAGAAAAAGAGACACCCGGTGTGCAAGAGCAAGGGAACACTGCCCAGGTGACCATGGTCTCATCTGCTGTAGAGAGACCTCAAGCAGGAGCTGAACTAGATGGCCTCTTCCAGCTCTGAAATTCTGGAATTCTCCATCTGAACCCTTTCTCTCTGATCCTTTCATGCGTCTTCCTATTTGCCATTTTCTTAATGAAATTTGACAAGCTATATTAACACCACATACGCTAAAGCAAAAAAAACACAGAAATTAAATGTTCGAAGTTCAACTCTGCCTTGTATGACCTATTAATTGAAATGTATAGATATTTTTGTGCTTAAAATAAAGTTTCTATACAGCCCTGAAATTACTGACAAGATAAATGAATGACCTATTCCTGTTGTGAATCTTACATATTTATGAACTAACACACTGGTTATTTTTCTAAAGAATTCCACATTCATGAAATAAGTCAATAAATTACAAGTGATATACGAAACATTTTGCTCCTCCTCATCAAAGGCAATGATATTCAAAGATCTGTAGAGTCTGAAAGGGGAAGGAGGAGTGAAAGAGACTTTCAATTCTATAAGCCATTATTAAGCACATACCATGTGTCAGGTACTGTACTACATACACAAAGATAAAAACAATATAGCACTTGCCCTCAAGGAGTTTACATTCAAGGGGGATTGGGAGGGAAGGGGGAGCATGTACACAAATAAGAAAATACAAAATATATACTTCGTAAATCTTAGGTAATGTTGCTAGGGGAGGTGGACCCTAACAACTGGGAGAGACGGTAGTATTTGGAATGGAGGAAGAAAAGCTGGGGTGGAGAGATCAGGAAAGGACCCTAGATAGGTGGTAATATTGAAATAGAACCTTGAAGGAAGCCCGAGATTCTAAGACTTTAAAAATATTGATCTAATAAGATTTAATATGAGTAATTTTTAAGTCCACTACTTGGAATAAAAAACTTAACTGTCCATGTACAAAATAAGGGAGGGGTGAAGGTATTCAGTCACTGATGCAAACAACATCCGCGTATCACAGTACGCTGCAAGCTCAGTAGGAATCCACAGTGTGGAAAGCACCTTCCATCTCAGACTACACCAGAAGCAAGCAGTATGCCCAGGTCTCGGAGGAGGATAGCTCCACTGAGCCCTGCCCTGGTCAGACCACAGTGAAACAGTCTATTCAGTCACGGGCACTCCACTTTAGAAGGAACGCTGATAAACCGGAGAGAAAGCCTGGTTTCAAAGGGCAGCCAGGACGGTGACAGGCCTTGGCTTCAAGGCATTGAAGGATAGGTTGAAGAAACTGGAGAAAGGGAGGGAGAAGCACATAGTAACTGTTTTCCACTATTTAAAGAACCACACCATTGAAAAGGAACTAGGACTACAAAATTATCATGGCCAAGCTTGGCCCCAAAGGAACCACATGAAAAGACATTTCCCTTCCCACCCAAAACACTTCATTACAGACATGAAGGACCATGGGTATAGAACACATCATAAAAGTCAGATTTTTTTTTCACATTAGTTAAGAATTTTTTTTGTCTTTCTTCCTTTCTTAACTCTTTGTAATAAGGCATGGCTCCTTGAGAAGGGGCAAGGAATTTTATAAAGACATCACTAATTTTTTTTCTAATTTTTTAAGGGTTAGATTTGTTCTGCTTGGCCCCAGAGGACAGAATTGGGAACAGTATGTATTAGTAGCAAAGAGGAAAAGGTAGGCTTGATGGACATTAAACAAATCCTCCTAATTAAAGCTGACCACAAGTAAAATGGTCTCCCTTGGTAAATGTTAGGCTCTTGATAATAGAGAGGTCTGCAAGAAAAGACCAGATACCAGGAATTCTCTCGTCCAGGTCCAAGGTAGAACAGATATAGTCTCCAAGTACTTTCTGAACTCTGAGAATCTATGATTCTAAAATTCTATCTCTGTTCTAAGAGATGAACACAATGCTGAATGTTCCATTTTAGCTCTACAAAATACAACATAATTTTGAAAAGATAATTCAACAAATGGCTGTGAAGTGATGTAAAAACTCCTAAGACCTTGATCTGGATTATATTCACCATGTACCATAAATGAGGGTTCTATTTTAATGCCACAGAAAACCAGGCAACAGTTGTCTTAAAAATCACCCCATAAGGGAATCAAAGGAAATGGAATTCATTTAAAGTTAGTATAGTCTTAACTCAACACGATGATCTTCATTCGTTTTCTTTACCCCTTTAATACCCACTAGATACCACATACCTTCCGAATTCAATGTAATCAAAGTAACATTGTTTCCAATGTTCTGGCTTCCTGACTGTCCACTATTGGAAACAGAGTCACTGGCCTCTGATCCACTCTCCCCGTCTTCATTGTGACTATCTTCATGGCCTGGAACCTTCACCACTATGGTGTTTTGCCTACGTGCAGGAACAGCACTGAAACAGAAACAAAGCAGACCCACATCTTGTCAATTTATGGAATAAAAAAAAAAAGGAGAGTCTAAAATTGAATCACTGGGACTTTTTTTTCTCTAAAGAATAGGTTTTATACTTCTCAAAGATCAAAGTATTTTCCTGCATGGTATCACATATCCTATTATGATCATTAACAACAAGGGCTAAGTAACAAGGCAAAAGGCTGAAACATTAAAAAGTAATTCCATGATACTAATGTCAGAATCAAACAAAAGCCATCCATCTGAAGATCTAGGGATGCCAATCATATTTTGAAGATAAAAAGTAATGCCTGCACTCTCTGTGACTTAGACAGGTAAATTTATTCTATGACAAAATATAGAACACTGACTCCCGATCCCCTAGGGCAGCCCATAGAGAATTAACAAGGGAAAGACCTCAATGACTATTTTTTTACCCTCTTTCTCTTTCTAAAATACCAGGCTGGGACAAAAAAAAATTGCGTTTTTAGAAAATTTCCCTGAGTCGATTCAGTGCAAGACATCAACCCCTCTAACAAGTACTGCGGCATCTGAAATGCTGATGATCCCAACACAGTCGAAGAGAGCAGAAAGCAGATAGTCCTCCCGGAGAAGGTTTTACCGAGTACTTCAGCCATCTCAGAGTCAAAGAGAGCAGACATTTAGAGAAACAGAGAACTAGGAGAAACCAGATGACAGCTGGGAGGGGATTCTGACATCTTCTCCACCCTCTCTTAATACCAGACTTCTCTACTGACTCTTTCTAACCCCTTCACTGGCACTGGTGAATAACAATGAGATTTCTGGAGAGGAAGACAATATTCTGTGTCACTTTACATAACAAAAACCGGAGGGACCGGCTGGTTTGGCATGGGCTGCTCCTGGACCACCATCTTGGCAATGCTGACTATCCAAACTGGGGTTCTTCTTAGAGGGAAGCAGCAGGTGTCCTAACTGATCTCAATGATGCTCAGTGAGACGAATCAACCCTTCCCATGTCAAGTCATTAACAAAGTAGACCAAAAGGAAAGCTCGGGGAAATCGTTTTCTTTCCTATCCTGGTCATTCTCAATTCTCCATAGACCCAGCTGGTTTCCCAGCTGGCCAAGACAATAAACATACACTAAAAGTGGGAGAGGAAGCAGTCTGCTACCAGAGAAAGTTTGGGAGAAAAAGCAACCCAAGGCTTTATAAGGCAGTAGATGGGAAACAAGTGGCAGAAAAGGTATTTTTGGGAGAAGAATGGAAGAAGCAACTTTCTCATAGTTGGGGTGGCCAGAAGTAATTTACCAGAAAGTAACAATGATAAGTGTATGCTTTTTCCTATGCCTAAGCATTCTGAAATTTGTAATTTTTAACTTAAAAAAAAGTTATTATCAGGGGCAGCTAGGTGGTGCAGTGGATAGAGCACCGGCCCTGAAGTCCAGAGGACCTGAGTTCAAATCTGGCCTCAGACCAAACGCTTGACACTTACTAGCTGTGTGACCCTGGGCAAGTCACTTAACCCCAATTGCCTTTAAAAAAAATTTTTTTTTAAAGTTATTATCTGAAAAAGTCATAAAATAGATATGCCTACAGAATTCGCTGAAAAGAAAAACAGGTGTTGTAAACATCTTAATATTGCACCTATTGATTCAGAAAAATGGTTAGCACTTAATTATCTCTGATGCTGGCCAATTTTCTTAACAAACCAGTGGGGGGAAAAAATACTCCTGTGAACAAGATGAGTAATCTCAGTCTACTATTGAGGAAATGTCTGAACAATTCCCTGCCATTTTGTAAGACCTCAATGTCTGAGCTAAACTCAGAACTTTAAAATTTCCAAAATCCCATATCAACCTATACCACATCACCCACTTCATAGCATGAATCACTCAGGACAATGGCCCTCATAATAATTTAACTACATTCTAATTTCATAAGCAGTCACACAAAAAGTCTGCGTGGTTTCTTTTTTAAGACAATTCCAATGCCTATAGTAATATAAACACATTCTGATTTTTTCCTTAGCATAACAAAAATAGAAGTGATTTTGAGTTTGGTCTTTTAAATGTCATGGGGAAAAGACTGGTAAGAGTGTCAAATGGAAAAAGAGAAGTGGGATTGGTGCTGTAGCTACTGACTTGCTAAGGATATTTTCCAGGGAATCCGCTGCCCTGCTCAAAGGTTCTTCTTGCCCAACCAGCTTGGCTACAATGGAGTTCTGTCGATCATTCAGTATTACTGTAGTCTGGGGGACGACGCTATGAAACAAAAATCACAAAGAAAAAATAACTTAAAGAAACAATATGTTAATCATACATTAGATTAATCTAATAAAGTTGGCTCTCTATTATCTGTATTGAACTGAATTAAGGAATAGGAAATCTGTATCTTTCACTAACCTTAAAAAAAATAAACCCTCTCTCCCCACCTCCACCCCCAAAGAACCCCACAAGTAGTATACTGATTTGCAAAGAAAAGATATTCCAAGGACTGAAAGTATTCTCCATATCTCTGCTAAGATAAACAAGACTTGACACCACCTTTATTCAGTAAGGTCTTTGAAATAGCTTCAAAAATGTACTGTAATCTTTACCCATTCTATCCCAACTATCTCCTATAATCCAAAGCCTAAAGCTCTAATTGATTAAATTTTTTATCTAATCATTCCAAGATTTTTTTTTCAATCAGATCTAATTTTATTAGAATTATACAAGTTGGTGGTTGACCACTGGCAGTATAACATTGGTATTTTAAAGTGACAAATTCTATGGGAAAAGTTTCTAAACCACAAAGCTAAAGAAACTTCGGTTTTCTTCTCTGAAGGGAAGCAACATACGTAGCAATTTTATCAGATAAAATGGATTGGAGCAGCTAGATGGTGCAGTGGATAGAGCACCGGCCCTGAAGTCAGGAGGACCTGAGTTCAAATCCGGCCTCAGACCAAACACTTGACATGTACCAGCTGTGCGACCCTGGGCAAGTCACTTAACCCCAAATGCCTAAAAAGTAAAAACAAAAAACAAAAAACAAAAACAAAAAAACCCCAGATACAATGGATTGTATTCAAAGAATAATTAGTTTTTGAAATGTGGTACTTCCATAAAGAAAAATCATACTGAAAACATTTTTTAAACTAGACATAAATTAAGTGTGAGGAAATGTTCACTTAACTGCTGGGGGAGCGGGGAGGTAAGTAAAAATATCCTCAAATAATTACCTAAGTTGGGCATTTTGGGACACCACCATCTAAAACTGAAAAGAGTATATTCATTGTTTAAACAGCAAGTTTGATATTTCAATAAATCAACATTAACCTTCACCAAAGTCTTACCCTATCTCACTGTGGTGTGGACCAAAAGACTGGCAACCAGGCGAAACCTTACTAGCCACAACTTCTCTCAACGACTAGCTACTACAAGGCCTGCGATTTACAGCGATGCAAGAAGTGCTCCCACCAATTAAATCACTGATCCTCGGAGTGCAGCATTAGTCAGGATTGCAAAGTGAAATCTCCTGCCACAGGTCAGCATCTACTTTGTCTCAAAAGCCAAATTCACAGATGGCATCACTTGGCATCTGAAAAAATCTCTAAATTACTGAGTTAGTTCCAGGCTAAAAAAAATAATCTTAATTTTAATCAAATAGGTTTTTTAAAATGAATTTAGTTTTGCTATTTCTGTGGTGATGTCTTTCTTTAAAGCTCCATATATAAAAAATGATACGATATTTGTAAAGCACTTAGCATAGTGCCTAGTACAGAGGAGGCTCTTAATAAATGCTTATTCCTTTCCCTCTCCATCCTTTTATTTTCACCATCTTACTATCAAAATGCATTTGGGAGTATTTCCCATCAGTAAAGTCCTATGCACCAATCTTACATTTACACTTTAAGCTCCATGACAATTCATTTCATGCATCTCACTGGCTTATGTAATCCAAACCACAAATAATGCCAAATACTACCAACACAGACTCATCAGCTCTGACGTCAGAACCAGGATTCAAAGCCCACTCGTCACTCTACCTGTGTGACCTTGGGTCAAGTCATCACCTCCCTGGGCCTCAGCATCCTCACCTGTAAAATGAGAGAGATGGGCCACATGGACTCTGGGGTCCCTCCCAGATCTAAATGTATGATCACCGTGACCATTTCAGTCTCCGTGGCATACACCCCCTACTCCCTGTCAAGCTGGGGCATCCCAGAAGGCTCTGTCTTGGATGCTCTAATCTCTTCCACATTCTCTTCCTTGGTGAGCTCAGCTTCCAAGGGTTCGATTACTACCTTTTTTGCAGATGCCTCCCAAGTCTATATTTCCAGCCGTTATCCGTCTTGAGCTCCGTCCCGATCACCGTCCCTGCCTATCAAGAGGACCAGTCCCCCCAGATCTGCCACAGGACACCAAACACAGCCAACGCCTCCGAAGCATAACTTCTCATCCCATCTCTTGATGCTACCGGCTCTTTAACCTTCTCCATCTCTGCTGAGGTGACCACCACCCTCCTAGACTCACAAGTTTGATCACCCTGGGGCAGTCCTTGATTCTCCTCCCTCACTATGATCTCGTTAAACTTCACAACAACCGTATGATGTAGATAATTATATTATGACCGTAGACAGGCGAGTTTCAATGACCCGTCCGGGGTCACACAGCCAGTTGGTGTCAAAGGCAGCATTCACTCCCTCCCACCTCCCAGCCCAGCATTCACTCTTGCTACTCCTCCACATTGCCTCTACTACACATCCAGTCCACAGCCAAGGACTTCCCAGTGCAGTCGCCTTTCTATGCATTCACATGACCACCACTGCAATTCAGGCCCTCGACTGCCATGGTTCCCTTTGGGTCCACCTGCTCCCAGGCTCTCCCCTCTCCAGTCTCTCCCTCCACACGACTGCCAAGATAATGTTTCTAAAGCATCATCCCCCTGCTCCAAAACCCACTGTGGCACCTTGTTGCCTGCGGTAAAACCACAAACTTCCCCCCCTAGCACTCAAGGCACAATATAACCTGGATCCAGAACACCTTCAAGTCTTACTTGACTTTAACCCCTCTGAAGCCTTGAAGCTGCCACTCACTGGAACGCCCCGCCCATCACTCCCCTGACCTGACATTCTGTCTTCCCACTCAATGCATCTATACCAGCTACGCTGTCACTTGTGCCTGAAATGCCTTCCCCCTCCACATTCACACAATACTCAGGACACAGTAGGTGCTTAATAAATGCTTGCTGACTGGATGACATCTTCATACTTGAAGGTTCATCTCAGGTGTCACCTCTTCCAGGAAGCCTTTTCCGTCTCCAAGAGTTTTTCAGGCTCTCCCCCCCTCCCCACATTAACTTCTATTTACCCATCTATGTGTGTTTGGTGCTGCTATCTGGTTGTTTTTCAGCTGTGTCCGACTCTTCTTGACCCCATTTGGGGTTTACTTGAAAAGACACTGGACTGGTTTGCCATTTCCTTCTCCAACTCATTTGACAGATGAGGAAACTGAGGCAAATAGGGTAAAGTGACTCGCCCAGGGTCACACAGCTGATAAGTGTCTGAGGCCAGATTGGAACTCAGGAAGAACACTCTTCCTGACTCCAGGCCCAGCATTCCATCCACTGCACTACCTAGCTGCCCATCTATGTATATGTTATGTCCTAAAAGTAGAGATAAGCTCCTTGGGGGTAGGAAGTAAGGAAAGGAGGGGGTATCTTTCTATTCCCATCCCTCAGCACAGTTTCTTGCATATAAAGACCATACCACATAAATCCTATACACTTTTGAGAACATGGAAGTGGTCAGTTAACACTTACTGTTACGTAAATGATCACTGTTGACACATAGTTAACATATATAGTCCAAAGTATTTTGTTTTGCTTTGTTTTTTAATATTTTATTTTTTCCCCAATTACAAGTAAAAACAATTTTTAACATTCATTGTTAAATCCAAAGAGTATTTTTTTTTGGGGGGGAGTGAGGAAATTGGGATTAAGCGACTTGCCCAGGGTCACACAGCTAGTAAGTGTCAAGTGTCTGAGGCCACATTTGAACTCAGGTCCTCCTGCCTCCAAGGCCAGAGCTCTATCTACTGGGCCACCTTGCTGCCCCCAAAGAGCATTTTGATAGCACAATAGCCTGAATACAGAATTACCTGCTGGGTAACAAAAGACAAATAATTTACTTTCACTACTCTTCTACTGATCAACCCACAATCCAGACATTAGAAATAAATATGCACTGGTATTAATAAAGCACATTTTATCTCTATATACTAGGCTGATGAGTCAAAGTGAAGAGAAGACTTCATAGTAAGAAATAATAGCAGCCATAACTACTGAAGACCCAGAAAAGAAAATCCTTGCCCCCAAAGGTTAACACTGTCAAACAGCTCAGAATCAGAAACAGAGACAGTTTTATCAGTGTGAAAACAACATTAAAGAAAATGCATTTCCATCTGCTTTGATGCTACACCCTAAGGATCAGAAGAGGTTTCCATTTGCATAGGGGGAAGAGGAGAGAAGAGTAGAAAAAATAGGTAACTAGTAACCCTTTCACAGAGAGGGCAGGGGGAAAGAGCCCTCTTCTTTCCAAAATTGCTAACTGTATGATGTTTCAATGACCATAATCCCATCCAACCACCTTTTTAAAATGCTAACGATAGTAGATGAGAGCAAGCTCCAGGCCTGACGTGTACCTGATAAGTCAGCTTGTCAGAGAGGACACAGCAATGCTGTTAGGATGCATGGCTGTCAGTATAACAACAGACACCACAGAATCCTCTGGATCTTTCAGCCCCTTATTAGTAAAGAGCGATCTGAGGAGTGCATTCTAGACAGGACACGGGCTCTCTGGGATAGGACAACTTTCCCCAAGTATAGTGAAGGTGCTCCTGATCCTAGGCAGTGCTCAGACCTCAATACAGGGTGCTAAACACCCAGTGCCACACGGTAAATTATAACAATAACAGCTCAAGTCTATGCCAAGAGCTTCTCCCCCAACAACCCCAGGAAGTGGGGAAAGTCCTATTAGCCCATCTGACAAACGAGGAAACTCCAGTTTAAGTGACTCCCAAGGTCACCTGAGACAGAATTCTGATAAAGGTCTCCTACTTCCAAGTCTAGCATGCTTTCCCCTCCACTAGGATCAATGAATCCATCAATAAATGGGAAAGTGAGTGATAAAGTTAAACACAGAAGGAAACCAAGGAAGAATTTATAAATTTTCTTTATCAATTCTTTAAGAACCAGACAGGCAGCACTGACTTCTGAAGCA